CTCCCCCTCCTGCCCCACTCAAAATTTTCGCAGAAAGGAACTCACTTTGACAGTTCAAACTGAAAACCAAATGAAGGTGATAATTTTCATGTTTCTGATGGAAAGGCCGCGATTTACGACAGGCCCACCCCTACGTTCAGGATATGGTGGCTACAGGACATTATTGAAGCTAAACATGTAGCTGAGTGACTAAAATTTTGCCTATACAGCAAGAACTTTAGCTATGATGGTTTAGATACATTAGCAACCAAAAGACAGCAACCCTTTAAAATTAATTTCTCTCAGTGTGGCGGCTTCAGCAAGGCCTTTTGATGTTCCGTTATCCCAGTCAAAGTTAAAAGTTTAGTATTTACCGCATCTAACGTCCGACGTCCAGATGGTAGAGGCAGCATCCCTGAGCAGTTCGGTTCCACTCACTCCCACAGGGGCAAAAGGGCGCAGACCGTCAAAAATCGCAAAACAACTGGTAACCTAACCTATAATAAAAAGCACAGTCGGAAATAGACCACTGCTTATTAAGTCTCTCCAAATACGTACGGCGAACGCGAGCAGATGGAGAGTCACACTCACCGGACTCTCTTTGGGCACACAGTTACTCATCAAAAACAAACGAACACAATCAGTAGGCAAACACAAGCGCCGGTACTTTACGATGTTTACGTCACTCGCACCACTTGCACACTGAGGACCCCGGACTGGACCAGAGCGTCGAGTCGAGTCGCCGAGCGGCCGCTAGAATGCGCAGCGACAGCGATCACTGTGGTGGTGGTGGTGGTGGTGGCAGTAAGGTGATATCATATCACCATCACATCATATCATATCATCTTAGGTGGCAGTGGTGGTCGGGCGGGCGGGGAGCGTAGTGACGTCTGCGCATCTGTGCAGTTAACGCTTGTTCACTTTTTGTTCTGTACGCCGTGCCGGCGTCGCAGCAGTCGGCGATGAACTCGACCGCCTCCAAGGTGGCGGCGTTCTCGGCCAGCACGCGGTTGATGAAGGGCCCCAGGTTGGCGTCCGACTGGCAGCTGAAAGACTTGAGGAGGGCCGACTTGCCAGGCGCGGGGCCGGGCGCGGGGGGGTTGAAGCAGAAGCTCAGGCCGCAGAACTCGACCCGGAACGCCTCCAGCCCCGGCGTCGTCGCCGCCGCCCAGAGCAGCTCGGAGTGCGCGGCGACGCCCTCCTCGCCCGGGCGGTCGGGCTTCGAGAAGAGTCGCACGGTGAGGCTCCGCAGCCGGCCGAGCGCCTCCTGGTTGCGGATGACCTGGAGGGCGAGCACCCCGTCCCCGCGAGGCACGCTGTCCAGCCTCAGAGCGGACGCGGCGCAGCTCGTCGTGGCGAACAGCTGGCCACATTGAATGCTTTCCAGTTAGGGCGCGCAGAAGAGCGAACTGTCACAAGCGCCGAGACAAGCGCGACCCGTCGTGAGCGCGAATGCCGCAAGCGCGACCCGGCGCAAGCGCGACCCGGCGCAAGCGCGAACGCCGCAAGAGCGAACGACCGCAAGCGCGAAGTGTCGGAAGCGCGACCCGCCACAAGAGCGACCCTCGCGAGGCGCAGCTTACACGCAAGCGGCTTTAGGCTTCCCAGAAAAGGATAGTGCACCTCAATAGAGCTACTAGAGATCCATAATGGCTCCCCTCCAGCTTCGGTACGACTTCGAGACGACTTCGGCACCCGCGAGATCTCACCAGTCCTCGCGAGTCCTCGCGATTATGTCCGCGAGGATATTCGCGAAAGGACACCGCGAACCCCCGCGAAAGGAGGGGGTGACCAGCCGGGGTGGACTGACTGACTGCACCTCGGCGGCGCTGCTCGCCGGCGACTTACCTATTCCTTAGCAGCGATACAACCACCAAACGAGCATGAGATGCGAAGCGGTGACCTGGAGGTGAGGGTGACCGGTGGTGACCTCCCAGGTAAAGTAGTGCGCCGTGACCACACGGCGCGGGGCGGCGGGCTGACTTCGCGGTTGCCCTGCAGGAGGGCGATCGGAGAGCTCCCTGAGAACGCCCCACTTCCATCCTCCCATCACCCCCGTCGCCCTGTTTCGGTTGATTTAAACCCGGCTGTTTTCAGGGAGCTCTCCGATCACCCTCCACCAGTAGTGCAGCAGACCCGCCTGTCCGCAGACGGACCCGGCGTGCGCAGCCGTCGGTTAGGCTGCCTACCTCCGGGCGCGCGGCACGCTCTCTTCCGACCTCGCCCCGCCCTCCCTTTCACCTGCCCTAGAAATTGAATATTTTCTACTTTGAAGGATGGCGCAAAGATTGACGGTTGGTGGAGTGGGAGGGGGGGGGGGGAGTATTGAGCTGGCGTGCGGAACCCCAAAAGAAAGGTGGTCGCACGCACAGACCGACAACACACCCCGAGTTATAGAACCTACAGCTCTGCGTCTCAGTGCCTCACAGCAGCTTCGTTCAGTTTCACCTTCGATTGAAAAGTGGTGCGGGCTACTAACGAAGAACATTGACAAATAAGAAAATCGCATTTATTGTCTTTCATTCTTTGGGATAGTGAGTAAAAGATATAACATGCGCATCTGGCCTGTTCTGCAATAATTGTACTAGACAACTTGGATTGTCCGGAAACGGTGGGACCATTTTATACCGTTTTTGTGGTCATCAACAGCAGCTTTTGCTACTGCCGCAGCCTCTCCGCACAGCTGACAGTCTGTCTCGGCTTCGGAGTGCCTGGCGAACATGCGCCAACGGACATTTTCGACAAAATATTGGCTGCATTCCCAGCAGTAGAATTGCATTTCTCCATACACTACATGGAGTGGCGAGGTGGCTTGGCGTACTAGATCCTGAAGCACGGAGACCAGCTCCGTCAAATCTGGAGGCTCTGCGAGAACAAAGACGGGGTCTCAGAGTTCTGGGTGGCCAAGCACGACACGGCTACATACTGCTGGGGAGGCAGGGCAGGGACTCACCTTCTCGCTCAAGTACATACGTACAGCAGGCGCAAAACACCGCGTCGCCCGCAACTACGAGCAGCTCGAGGGCAGCAGGGTGGGCTTCGCGGAACACCTCGAGCGACAGCTTCCTTGGGTCGGCCAGCAGGACCAGCGAGCGCAGTCTGGGTTGGCGTGCAAGCGCCACCGCCAGGTCATTCACCATGAGGCTCCAGTAAACGGGGCAGTTTAGAGATGCTTTCGAACGAAGGTCGATCCTGACGTCCTCCAGCCCGTGCATCCGCCGCAGTGCCGCGACCACCGCCACGACCAAGCTCTGGGCCCTGGAGGCCAGCACGCTCAGCCGTTCAAGGTCACGGTGAGCCAGCAGCAGCAAGCGGAGGACCTCGACGTCCCTCTCGGAGTGCACGCCGCTGACACTTACCGCGCGCAGCCTGGGCAGCAGCCCGGCGACCGCAGCCACCTCCTGCGGATGGCACAACACTATTTACATCTCCAGAGCCACAAGCCGGCACAGCGCCAAAATCTGATTTTTTTAAAATTTAACCAATTTGAAAATTTTCCTCTTTTTTTATACAAAGAAAATAGTGGGAAAATATTTTCAGAAAGATTGAAAAGTATTAAATAAACTTCTCAGGAGCAGCGAGGGCACTCACCTGCTGCGGCCAGGGCTCGGCGTTGCAGGTGCAGGGGCTGCCCTGCTTGTGCGTGTCGCCGCCCGAGACGCGCAGGGACTCGAGGTGACGGGCGTCCCTGAGGTAGTGGAGGAACAGGCCCAGCCCCAGCTGCGAGACCTCCAGGTGCCTGAGCCTCGGCGCCAGCTCCCAGATGAGGCTGGCGAGGCACGCCTTGGTCCGCGCCGACGACCACACCGACAACTCGCTGCGGGGCGGGGAGAGGCACGCGATCAGCACTGAGTGGCGCCCTCGGGTACAGTCACCCACAAGACTAACAGAGGTTCCCCACCTGGCGCAGCTCCCCCCGACAGACACTATCCCTTTGTAGCGAGGGTACTCGGGCACGCCGTGGACGCTCCTGGTCGGCAGTCGGAGAGACCACTTTTTCTTCGAAGCTCCGGGGTCGACGGTCCAGGTGGTCTTCAACGTGTCCAGGGGCGGGACGACCCGCAGCAGCCCCATGACGTCCTTGTCGTGGAACTCGACGTCCTTGCCGCGCCACACCGACGCGTTCGCCCGGGTCAGCTCGCCCAGCCGGGGGCTCGCCCGGCCGGCGGCGACCAGGTGCTCGGCCTCCTTCAGGTGCGACAGCACGCGCAGGAGCGGCACGTCGGGCAGGGTCAGCAGCGTGCTCTGCGACTGACGTGAGATATTGCACTTGCGGAAGATAAATTTTGCCTCTCGTGATGAAAATTCCGTCATATCGAAACAACGGCAAAATGTTTACTTTAATTCGCCTCCTAAAGAGGAGCCGCCGAGGGGGCGGGGTGGAAAGTTGGGTGTCAATAGAAAAGTTATGCAAAAACTGCCGGAGTACACCTGGGTGGAGCGGTTGGTGTCTCCGTCTGTTACACACAGGTGTGCTCCGGCGTTTTTTGCCTGAATTTTCTGAGAGCCCTGCAAAACGTTCTCTCCGGCTCTCTCTCTCCCGACAGGGCGCACTAGGCGGGCCGCCGTCTTCACACGGCTGCTTGGCGGGTTGGCCTACCCAGCCCGTAGCAGGCGCCATCATACCTTCCCAACAAACACGTCAAGGTACATTCACTTTTATAGTCATTTGACTGTTTTTTCAATGTCACAATGAGTCTCATTTCGCCTAAATTTTGACTGGCTAGTGGCTAGTCAATACCTAGGCGAAAGAGACTTACTTTGAGAGTGAAAAACAATCTAATGACTATAAAAGTGAGTGAGTTGTGGGGACTGTTGTATTATGGGCATTGGTTGGATAATCGAGACACAGGACTTCGGTGAAACTCAAATCTATGTAATCACGATGGGTTCAATACAACACAACCACACAGGGCAGCTTCCAGACAAAGAATGGCGCCAGCGTATGGTACAGCGTAGAACGGGCGCTTAACACTAGAACTACCGGAGGGGTCAAAATGACCCCTTTTGATTTTGAATTGCCAAATGAACTATCAAATTTTATTCTAACGACCCGCCACTTTTCGACTTTTCATGGGTACGCTTACGGTACGCTTTGACACGAAAAATCAGCCATGTGCGTCAAAAACTTTAGGAGATATTGTAACATACACCTCGCTATACCGAAGGGGTCATTTTGACCCCTGTATTAGTTTTCGAGGGCTTTGATGGTTTTAACGAGCGGTTTTCAACTTAAACCTTGCCATTGTTGTTCTGTGTGATAAGTATTGACTTCCGCTTGGTCGTGTGACAATTTTGAACCTCTATCATTATCGGTAGGCAACCCGCCCATCACAAAATCATGTTGTCCTTACATACTTATGAGGCATTCGCAACTGTTCTGTCGGCCTGAAAACGTATTCCATGGCCGAACAAAGGTTAAAAATGTTAATAAATGGTCTATTACGACTGTTATTGCATGATATTTGTATACTATTTTATTCGCAGAACCAAAGTTTCAGAATTGCTTACCGTATTTGCGGTGTTTACGGTTGTTGGTCAGACTGAAATAAACACAGGCTATGCTGAAATGTTGAGAATTATTGTATATGATTGTAACCCTATGCAATTTACCCCAAAAAATTGCGAAAATATCGGTAAAACTTCTGAAAAATTACATGTTGTGCTTTGCGGGTTGCCTACCCGCCCCCACACAGGGACCGCGTAGGTCCAATAATCGCATCAAGTGTCAAAAAAATCGAAAATAAGAAGTTGTGTACCCAAAACCGCAGTCTTTTTACAGCTAAAACGGCGGAATAGTACCTGGGGGTCAAAATGACCCCTCCGGTAGATCTAGGTATTCGAAAATCCCGGTGGTTCGTCTAGTGTTAAGATGATGCTGGGGGAATACCCGACACATGACTTACTCTCATTCAGATACATATTGCTATCGCTTAGTGTGAGGTGACACGCAAAATAGTGTGTTTGCTGGAACAGCAAAAATTTAGCTGAAACAGCAAAAATTTAGCTGGGACAGCAAAAATGTTTGCTGTTCCCATAGCAGCAAAAGAAAGTTAGCAGCTATGGTAACAGCAAACATTTTTTGCCGTTCCAGCTAAATTTTTGCTGTTCCCATAGCAGCAAAAGAAAGTTAGCAGCTATGGTAACAGCAAACATTTTTTGCCGTTCCAGCTAACAAACATTTTGCTGGAACAGCAAAACAGTTTGCTAATTTTACAAAGGCCCACTTCTGTTTTAGCAAACACACTATTTTGCGTGGAGACTAATATTCCGTTACATATGTATGACAAACTGCACATCACACCAACACAGTCACCTTACCAGTTCCTTTTCTGCAGCCATGACAATGAGAGTCACAGCGCTTGGCGTCTGGGACTACTCCACGCAGTAGAGGGCGACGCCACTTTGATCCTCTTGCAGGACAATGAGACACCGGCTTTGGGTTGTCGCGAAAAAGTGTACTGTACTCTAACCTTAAAACCGAGACGCAGTCCCCACGTGGGCCCCGTAGGCCACAATAACTCCCCTGCCTCCCAACCAACGCGCAAGTCGGGCGGCACTCGTCACGAACAAGTGCAGTCGCTAGAGAATGGTAGCCAGGGAACTGGCCGATCCTTCCGCAATTTCAACTCGAACGTGAACTCGCTCACGGTAAATAAACAAACTAACCGCCGCCGTCCGCGTCGCGTCCCGGGTTGTGGTAGGTCCCAGGCGCCGCTAGAGCGCGCGGCGTGCACCGATAGCGATCGCCGCCCTCCCAAGTAACAGAGATTCGTCTGAAACACGTCAAGTTAAAGTATACTGATGTCAGGACCATTTCGTCACGTTGACGTGTTTAAAATCGCGATATTTGATGTAATTTTGACGTCAAAGTGACGTAATATTGACACTTTTAGGTCATCAGTGACATAAATGTGACTGTTGAGAGTCAAGATTACGTCACTTTGACGTCAAAATTACGTCAAATATCGCGATTTTAAACACGTCAACGTGACGAAATGGTCCTGACGTCAGTATACTTTAAATTGACGTGTTTCAGAGACGAATCTCTGTTACTTGGGCTGCCGACGACGGGCCGGGGCCGGGGCCGGGTGCGGCTGAGTCTCAAGGTCACAAAAGTGCAGAGCTATTCGAGCATCGGCTCATCGGCAGGGTCGCTTGGCATGTACGGGGCGGGCGCTGGGCATAATCCCAGGTAGAACACAATCGTCAAAAACTCGTCAATGACCCTCTTTTGACGTCAGAATGAGCTCAATCTGGCTGCCTAGCAGCAGTAAATTTTGACGATGAGCGTCAAAATGAGGTCATTCTGACATCATTTTGACGACAAACGTGTTCTACCTGGGAATACTACGGGACGCTACGGTGAAGCAGCCCCGTGGTTCCAGGTGTTAAAACAGTGTGGCGGCGCGCCTGAGCGGGCAGCGGAGCGGTAGGGAAGTGCCAAGTGCCCCGCAGTTTTGACGTGTCCATCGGCAATCTTTATCATAAAAACTTGGGAGGGCAACCGGCAACTTTTCTCAAAACAAAGGGGGAAACTTGTACCTTCTGGTAGAGACCTGTCTGGTAGAGACAGCCAGAAGGAACTGTCTGGGAAAAAAAACAACACCAGTTCCCTGGAGCAGGTTTATCTGACTTTATTTCCTGTTTCCACTACGACACTCGAACTTTTCGCCAGTGATGTGTGCCGCAAACTCGGCCGCGATTGTGGGCCGCGACGAAGGCGTCGGCGGCGGCGCACGACGGACAGCCCGTCGCGGACACGGAGTGCCTCAAGAAGATGGGAGACTGCTCCAAGTCCCGCAGGAACGCCACGTGCAGCGTCGCGGAGGGCGAGCGGCGCACCAGGTCCTCGGCCAGCGGCACCAGCGGCGTGACGCCGCCGTCCTCGCAGTCTGCGGGCACAAACGGAGTTAGAGTTAGTCTCTCTGCACGCTCTCGAGAGCGTGTGTCCCGAGGGGTGCTTCACTCCAAGGTCATTTAAAAAATAATTAAAAAAAACAAACAACGAAAAACGAAAAAAAAATATAAATAAATTCTTAAAATCACGAAAAAAAATAATGTTTCCTTGAATTTATAGTGAAGTACGCCTCGACGTGCTCCGGGGGGGGACAACCCAAGGAAAACGTTTTTCTCACGAAGACCTCATTGGGACCTCTGAGGTCACGATTCCTTGCACTTGTGAGGTCACCAGTGAGGTCACAAATGCAAGAATCGTGACCTCATAAAAACGTCAGAATGAGATCTTCGTGAGAACCACGTTTTTCTTGGGAGGCGACGGCGACGTATCATGCCTGTAAGTCCGGCGTTGCGCCTGCAGAGGATGTCGATGAGGTTGCAGTCGTAGTCGAGGATGAGCAGCTCCAGGGCGGGGATGGCGGCGGGGCCGGCGGCGTGGATGGCGCGGAGCACCTCGGGCATCTCCGCGGCGCGCAAGCCACGGAAGGCCAGCGAGCGCAGGCGCGGCAGTCGCACGAGGGCCGTCCCGACCGTCCCGACGTGCTCGAGCAGGGCCTCGCCCAAGGGGCTGAACATGTACTGGACCACGACGAGGTGCTCGAGGCCAGCCAGCGAGCCCCCTCCCAGGGCCAGCAGCCCCTCGACGCCGAACCCGACGAGCTCGAGGCGCTGGAGCGGACCCGCCCAGGTCGACAGCACGTCCACCAGCTCCGCTCGCACCTGAGAACGCCCATTGTCACGTTATGGTAGAGTGGACTGGCAAACGCGGCGGTGTTGGCGGTGGTCGTCACTCTTTGCAAACCTGACGGGGTGGGGCTGCATGTCGATCATCTTGCAACCCGTCGCAGCCGATGACGATGCTCAGGTGCTCGAGCCCCTGCATGCGACGCAGCCTTCCAACCACGCCCGGGTCGCGTTGCACGTCCCACAACTCCAGGTGCTGGAGGTCGCTGCGGCAGGCGTCCAAGAGCGCGACGAGTGGTCCCTGCAGTCTAACGGAGCGCAGCTGTCCGCTGCAAGCCAGTAGAGGGTTCAGCAGACCGTTGAAACACCGGCATAGGGTACTCCAGGGCTCGGCTAGACCGGAAGGGGAAGAACAAAAATCGCCGGGCGCGGGGAGGAGCGGGGCAGGGTGGGGGCAGTACCCCACTCCTCCCCGCGCCCGACCGGCCCGCCGATTTTTGTTCTTCTACTTCCGGTCTAGCCGAGCCTCGGAGTACTCTATAGAGTAAGTGCGGCTCGGCCTACCTGTGCGCCAGCAGCAGTGAGTGGAGGGCCTCGGTGGGCACGCCGTCGCCCTTACCAGTAAATTCAAGATATACGCTGTGCAGTCTGGGTAGCCGAACCTCCTGCGGGTAGGGACATGCCAAGGTGTGGTGAGAAGTGGCAGTTGAATCGACATCGAAAGGGGCGGACTGGGCGGGTCGCCTCGGCTCGGCACTCACCTGAACTCGCCAGTTCACGTCGGTCCCCGGGCCCTTGCCCCCGTGCCACAAGAACCTGACGCGGAGGGTCTCTAAGTTGCGGGCATCTTTCAAGCAGTCGATAAGCCCGCCCAGTTTGTCCAGCATTACATACGCTTCTACAACCAGGTGCTTCAGCTCGGCAAGCCTCGACCCAACGAGCAACTTAATGATGCTTGACGCAGTCTCACGTGAGCAATTCACCGTCAACTGACTGTAGAAAGAGAGAGAGAGAGAGCATTCAGATACTGGCTAAGACTGACACATCTCTTGTCACCTCACTTCATCCATGTTCCCACCTGCTACAACTCTTCGCACTGAGCGAGACTGAGAAGCCATCATCAATTCTAACAGGGTACCAAGGGTCAGGGTTCCATTGTAAGATGAACTCCAGTCTGTGCATCGGTGGCCTGGCCCGCAACAGGAGGCTCGGGTCGGCGGCTCCCGCCGCCGGGGTGGAAACGCGGGTGAAAGCATGGAACGGCAGGTAGGAGAGCGCCTCGAGCAGTGGCACATCGCGTTGAGCCAGGAGCGCCAGCGCCTAGGGGAGAAATCACGTGACCCGTCGGTATGACATGACAGTTCGGTTGGAGAGACTGGTGAGTTTACTTCTTCTTACATGCTCTGTAAATAGACAGTATTAACATATTACCAGATTCTTGTCACGTATAAGAGCATCAAGTATTGTCCTCTCGAGCGGTGCAGGGCTCATCATTGCAAGTTCCTGTCCCAGGTGGGGATATTTCTTTAATACGTATTTCAAGACCAACGGGTGACCTAACCTTAAAACAGAGACGTAAACAAAGTTTGTACGGTAGATCGCAAAGTTCGAAACAGCAACACTTCAGGGCCATCTACAATGGGAGCAGAGTAGGGAAAGAGTGGGGCGTGGGGACTGACGAAGTGGCCCCTTCTGAGCCCCCCGCGAAGTGATAAGTCGCGATTCGCGACAACTCGAATGCCTCGCGATGAGGGTGACTCGCGAGGACATCCGCGAAGCATCCCCGTGGTGTGGTGTGACAAACCGTGACATATCACTTCGCGGGGCATTCGCGAGGAAAAGCATCCTAACCTCACTTCCCTTACTCTACTCTTAAACCCTTCTCCACTCCCATTGTAGATCGCCCTTTAGTCGCCCTCAAAAGAACTATTACCTACCTGAATCAACAATGTCACTCAGTCACTCGAAATATCTTATCAACTCTAAACACAGACGAACGACAGATTGAACGAAAACGTCCACGCGTCATATAGACCAATATAGACGATCTAAGCCATATCTGGATAAGAAGAAATCAGGAAGAAATCTACTAGCATCATGGCCGCCAGCCCTATCTCTTCCATGTCCATGGGATAGCGCTGGTCGAATCTCAGCCTCGCGGCATCTAGATCCGGTCGTCTGCTGTCAACTGCACCGTGGCGTTAGGTTAGGTGGGGGGTCTGGATTTCAATCTCGTTTTCGGCGCTTCACTTGTCGGCATTTCTTCTAGATTTCTTCTTATCCAGAGATAGCTCAAATCGACTCACTTTACCGCTGCTAGCTCGATGAGGCCAGAGGACAGGCTCGGACGACTTTCTAGTTCTAGCTCAATCCGCTGGACGCGCCTGGACTGCCTGTTGTCCGCGCGGCCGCGGAGCTGCGTTCGCGTCGCCCCGCATTCCGCCACGCTTGCACTCTCTCCCCTATATCTCCTCGGCCCTCTGTCCACGCCACGCAGCTCGTGTGCGCGGCTGCACCTCATCTCCAAGGAGACTTATGGTTATTGGACTCTTAGATGAAAACTGGGCGAAGGCGGCGAGGACGCAACGCGCTGGTAATAATTTAATTTCTGGTTATTTTTATTTATTTTTCCTCTGTCTCCTAATTATTTTTGGGAATATACTTCTTCCCATGGCTCTCGCATGCTGCCTGATTGCCTGTGTGTGTGCTGTGCCTTTCCTCTTACTAATATGCTCAAACGCGACTGCCGTTTGGCTTGCTTTTCTTCCCCTCGCTGTGCACTGTGCACTGGGCCGATCTTTCCGATTTAGACCTTACCTGTCCCTAGCAACTCCGAAATCGTCGACTTCAAACTTCTAAATTTGACATGCCCTGTTCATCTCATCATCTCCTTTGGCTTTGGCGGATAGGGAGGGTGGGGCAATGTTGCCCCTCGCAATGACGACACCGCCTTGGACGACACCTTGTTCACAGAGACTTTTTCTCCCACAACGTGACAAGACCCGCAAGTAGAATTTCATACTTAAGATAAACCGTATTTTGAGTGCCTGTCAACAAAATTACTCACCACTGGATTCCTTGGAAAATTTTCCTCGTACAAGTGTTTTTGCTTTTTTAAAAAAATTGCCCGCATGACAATTTTTCTATAGAGATTTGCGCTTTTGCCAAATTGTATGCGAAAAGGTCTATACGCGTTAGTTTGCGGTCACATGACCATACGTGACCGCGCTGTCTAGACAGGGAGGGAGGGAGG